TATGCATGTATTGCCTGCATGTAGGTAAGTGCACCCATGTCGCGCAATGCCCATGGAGGTCAGAAGAGGTTATTGGATCCCCTGGGACTGGAGTTACGTACAGTTGTTAACTGCCATGTGGGTGCTGGGATTCAAACCCGGGTCTTCTGCAAGAACAACCAGTGTGTTCTTAACCGCTGAGCCATCTCTCCAGCCCCTTGTGTACATGCATTTTTCATAAGTTTCTATGGCTAAATTTTGTGAAGATAGATGTTAAACTGAAAACTTTCCCTGAACTCAAGGAACTTACATATGAAGGGATGGATTTAAACAACAGTTGAATGATAAAATTTTTTAAATGCTAAAAAAAGAAAAACACTAAGTATACAAAATAAGTGTACAAGGAATGTACATCAACACAATAGAAACCATGTATAATAATCCAACAGTTAACATTACATTGGATGAACAACAGCTAGAAGTTTTCTTTTTAAGATGTGGACAAGGAAGCAATGTCCACTTCCACCACTGTCAACATGGTACAAAAATCTTTGAAAGAGCAATCAGGGCAGAAGAATTAAGGAGCCTCCAAATTGGAAAAGAGGAGGTTACACTGTCACTGTCTGTAAATGATATCACATACAAGGAACCCCAAAGCACCACCAAGAACTATTAAAACAATGATGTTAGCAAACTTACAGGATACAAAAATTCATGTACAAAAAGCATTCTCAATATTATATATCAACAGTGAATATTCTGGAGTAAGAACTAAGAAAGCAATCACTTCCTTAGAGAAAATCCCAAGACTGTCACACCCCTAGACTAATGTAATTTCTTACTGTGTGCAAAATATGTATCTTTCTATTTAGCCAGGCATGGTGGTGCACACCTGTAGTCCCAGCACTTGGGAGGCAAAGGCAGGCGGATCTCTGAGTTCAAGGCCAACCTGGTCTACACATTAAGTTCCAGGTCAGCTGGGGCTACAAGGACACCCACCCTGTCTCAAAAAGACCAAAAAAAAAAAAAAAAAAGTATGTTTATATTTAAAGACAAATATCCCAGTTAGACTCATCAAAGAAGTTTCTTTTGCACCAGATGGAGCCATTACAGAGTACCACAACTGGTCATACACAGACAATGTCTGTGAATTGCCCAAGCCTAAGTGGCACATCTACAATGCAACCACTATACCTAAGGCTCACAGAACATAGAACAAGGGGTAAAGAGGACACTAATGAATATCTAAATTCTCATTAATGGATCTCCCTCATGCAACAGAAGCCAGGAACACAAAAGGTCTGAAATAACCAAAGCAAAGTGATTAAGAGTCTCCAGAATGCTGGTCCTTGGACAGGACTTCTATATTAAACGTCACCCACCCAGTGCTCTTAACTGCTGAGCCATCACTCCAGCCCTGAATACTGCTCTTGCAAAGGATCTAACTTCAGTTCCCAGCACCCAAGTCAGGTGGCTCACAACCAATTACAACTCCAGTTCCAAGGCCCTTTTTGGGCCTCCATGGGTACTGTACTCGTATGTACAAAGCCATACATAGAAACACAAGATATTTATAATTAAAAATAAAATCTTTTAAAAAATCATTTTATAAAGTTCGCCTTTAATCCCAGCACTCAGGAGGCAGAGGCAGGTGGATCTCTGTGAGTTCAAAGCTAGCCTGACCTACATAGTGAGTTCCAGGACAGCTGGGGCTACGGGGAGACCCTGTCTCAAAAGGACCAAAAAATAAAAATATATAAAAAATAAATAAAAGTTTTAGTTGCAAGCATTATACCAGAGTACCATTAGCAGTATTTTATTTCTTAACATATATGTTACAATTGATAGTACCAATTCTAGGAAATGCTCTAGTCATACAAAGTAACTATTATAAAAATTACCTTTACTTCATCTATCAAGGCAAAATACTAAAAGTGGCACCATGAAGAAAATGTATTAAAATAGGACAAAGTAGTTATTTTTATTGTTCTTGTCCCCTTAAATTAATAGTCTAAGGTGATAAAATGGATTAATATTAACTTCTGAAAGCTGATCAGAATTAGTAGTTGTGAGAAGAAAACATGATACCTGTAGAAGAATATGAGTCAAAAGACCCAGTTCTCATCTTTGATCTAACTTTAAACTTTTTAGAAAATTTATTCATCATCATTATTTGTGTGTGTGAGATGTAGAGGGGAGGGGTACATGCCATGGCACCTGTATGAAGGTCAAAAGACAACTTTGTGGAATTGATTCTCTCCTTCCACCTTTATATGGGTTCCAGGGATCAAACTCAGGTCTGTAGACTTATGTAGCAAGTGCCTTTACCCACTGAGCCATCTTGCAGGTCCCAGATATACCTTCTTGACCTTGGAAAAATAATGCTACTCTCTGGTCCTCGATTTCTTTTATAAGAAGAAAATCAAACTAGGTGATCTTCCTTTTTATTTAAGTTGTTAAACTTCTCTATATGCAAAGCAAACAGGCTGATCTGTATTAGTCTACATTTATGAGTGTGTTAGAATTAAGATGTTTTATTATATTTATTTAAATGATACCTTTATACCTAGAAATTTCAGTCATGAATCTTATCCTTCTATATTATGTAAAGTCCATATTTACAATGTACAAAATATGCTTTTAAATGTTTGATTTTTTTCCCATTTCCATATATAAAAAACTAATTTTTCCACAATAATTTACCTGAATTTATCTTTCAGAATTTCAAGTTCACTTTTATACAGACTGCACTTTTCTTGAAGCCTTTTATTTTCTTTTTCACAGTTATTAAGATTTTTCTCTAACAGTTCTTCTTCAGCTTGAACCTAAAACACCAAATTGTTTTAAGTGGATATACTAATAATAAGCATGTTTTACAATGTTTCAAACTAAAAATGTCAGTAGTGATCCATGCCTCACCTTTTCTAGTTCTTCTGCCATTTTTTCTTTATATTGCTGGAAAGCTTTACTCAGCTCTTCAGCATTATACAGTGCTTCATTCCTTTGTCGTTCAGCTCTAAAATTTAAAAAGAAATAACAAAAGTAAGAAATGTCCTGCACTGAAATAGCTAAGTTACCTATCTTTAATTATAAAAATTAGAAAGAAGCAGATGTGTGTGTTTGTATGTGTACACATGTGGAATACATATATTTTTGTATGGGTGTATGTAGATGTGTATGCAAGTGCACCTGCATGTGCTGGTGTGTGCAAGTGGAAGCCAGAAGTGTTTGTTGAGTATCTCCTCAATTGCTCTCCAGTCAAGCTGGACTGCATCAGTTTGGCTAGGCGAGCACACCAGTGAGTTCCAATGATCCACCTGTCTCCCAGTGCTGGGTTACAGATGTGTGTAACAGCACCCAGCTTCTACATGGGTACTGGCCATAAAAACTCAGGTTCTCATGTTTGTGCAAGACTTTATCAGCTTATTCATCTGCTTTTGAGCCCCAGAAGCAGATTTATATATATATATATATAAATAAATAAAACTTGGGCTTTACTGTGCAATGAATTAATTATACTTCAATAATTTTATTATTCTAGCAACATAAATAAAATACAAGACAAATACTTATAAACTTGAAACACACATAAATTTTTATGAATTGGCAATTCATAAGAATCCCTAATCTGGAAAGGACAGGGTAACGCTGAACAATAAATTTTCGAAAGTTAAAAATTATACAGTCTACTGTGTAGAGTACTAAAGATACTCAATGAATTCTGTAACCCATGCAAAGGTTAGGTAAATTTTTAAAAGACAGCTTTTAAATAGAACAGTAATTTTTATTGATAGAAGATATAAACAACAACAACAAAAATCCAGCTACCACCAAGCACTGCTGAGCTCAACCTTGCCGCCTTACCTCTTAGTTGACACTGAACTTCACACTTCTCTTATTTGGTTGAGAACACTGGGCTTGAATTTAGTTAACACCATACCCATACAAGATCTTTTTATAATTGAGACCACACACAGCACATTCTTTCTAGTGTGAAGTTCACGAGCCTTCTCTCATCTGAGGTGAACTACACCATCTATGCTCTCACCTCCAGGAACTTGATCTTCTGTATTTTCAATGTCTTTCCCTAACTAGAAACAAATTCAAGTAAAGGATAACTCACTTCAAGAATCTACAGGGTTAAGTTTGGATAGAAACTGACATCAGAAACATCTATAAGTAATTTTTATGAAAGGCTCTCTCTCTCTCTCTCTCTCTCTCTATATATATATATATATAATATTCCAAAGTTTATACAACTAGAGTTAAAAGCAAAGAACACTTTTTTTCTCACTTAAACACACACTTCTGCAAATATTGTACTTTCCTCCATTATCTTTCAAGAAAAGTATCCACTTTACACTTACCTCCTCTTCCTCTTTTACAATTTTTCTAAATGACAATTACATGCTTTAGCACACAAAATATGGGCTAATATAGCCATGTTCTCCAAACTCAGCAGCTTTTATGAGTTTCAACTCTGTCTTCATGCAGCATTATTTTAAGCAGAGAGAACATTACAAATGGACATGGGGACATAGCTCAGTTGATAAAGTACTTGCCTAATATGCATGAAGTCCTGGGTGGAACATGTCTCATTACTTAGATCTTTAATAGTTTCAATAAACTTTTACAATTTTCTTTATAAAAATCTTTCCATGGCCTTTAATCCCAACACTTAGGAGGCAGAGGCAGGCAGATCTGTGTGAGTTCGAGGCCAGCCTGGTCTACATAGCAAGTTCCAGGTCAGCTGGGGCTACAGGGAGACCCTGTCTCAAAAAGACCCCCCCCAAAAATCTTTCTATTCTGATACTGGGGCTTTACTAACCATAAGGATACTACCCATCCCAGAGCTAACTAATTCTTTTTTAATTAATAATTTTTTTTTTATTTATTTTTATCTTATGTGTATGAGTGTTTTGCCTGCATGTATATAAGTGCACCCATGTCATGTAATGCCCCAGGAGGCTAAGCTCTGGTCCTCTAGGAAAGCAGCCAGTACTCTTAACCGCTAAGCCATCTTTCCAGCCCTGCTAGCCAACTCTTAAAGACAGTAAACTCCAGAATACATTTCATGTTTACTAACCAATCCAGAACTTATTTCTCTACCCTTCATCTGGCTCTTATGCTTAGGGCCAATACTATACTATTCAAAGTCATCATGAAGTGCTTTAAGGTAAATTCTCAAAACTGCTGGTTATAAGGTTCCATATGCATATCTAATAGATCAAGATTGGTCTTGAATATGTATATGTGTGGTATGCATGTGCATGTATAGATGTATGTGTGTATGCGGGCACACATGCACGTCTGTACATGTATGTATCTTCTTCAATAACTTTGCACTGCATTTATTTCTTGAGCAGGGTTTCTCAATTGGATCCAGAACTCATCAATTAGCTAGACAGCAAATCAGCCCCAAAGAGCCCGTGTCCCCTGGGAATTACAGAGGCCCACCTGACTTTTCATGGGTTTTGAGCATCCAAACTCCAGTGTTTTACCTGTTGAATTATCTCCCAAGCCCCCTATTGCATTGTTCAACTCTTCAAGTCCTTAATTAGCCTAACAATGCCTAATAAATGTGTAAAATTTTCCCTGATTACAGATTTGCTCATTTCTCCTTGAAATTCTGTTGTTTGTTATGTATTTTGATACTAAATTATAGATATATAAATTTAGAACTTTTATATCTTCCTGATTAAAAATTATCTAAAAGCCAGGTGTGGTACCATGCACCTGTCATCCCAACACAAGAGGTTGAGGCAAGAGGATAGCAAGTTGGAGGCCAACTTGGGCTTCATTAACAAGTTCCAAAACAACCTAAGCTACATAGATCCTGTCTCCAAAAAAAGTGCTTTAATAATTAGATATCATTTTAAAGTCTAATAATGCTTGTTGCATTTAAATCTATTTTGTGTAGCAGAATACTGTTGTCATTTTTTTTTCTTTTTTCTCTCTACTTAGGATCAAACTCAGAGTCTTGTATATGTTGGGCAAGAACCCTACTACTAAACTACATATCCAGCCTGTTATATCAACTTGTTTTGGTGAATATTTGACCAAAATGTTGATTTCAGCTCTTTTAATTTCAATTTTTTTTGCATCCTTCTGTTTTGGGTATGTCTCTTATAAACAGCATAACGTGAAAAAAAAATTACCTTTACACACAATTTTTTTTTTTTTTTTTTTTTGGTCTTTGAGACAGGGTCTCCCTGTAGCCACAGCTGGCCTGGAACTCTCTATGTAAACCAGTCTGGTCTTGAACTCACAGAGTTCCACCTACCTCTGTCTCCTGAGTGCTGGTGATTTTTAATGATTGATAAACCTTCTGCACCCCAAAATAAGCCCCTAAAAAAGCTTTATTCTTTCAGTCTCAGAATGTTTTTTACTGGTTTGTGCTACAACCACACAATACCATAGAATAATTTATGAAGCACATAAATTATTTCTGTCAATTCTGGAGGCTGAGAAATTCCAGAGAGGGAACTGGCAAGTTATATTGAGTCTTGTTTTTGTTTTTTTTTAATATTTTATTTATTGTTTTTATTTTATGCGTATGAGTGTATTGCCTGCATGTATGTGGGTGCACCTGTGTCGTTCAATGCCATGGAGGTCAGAAGAGGGTGTTAAGGACGGTTTGTAGCTGCCATGTGGGTGCTAGGACTGGAGTTAAGGACGGTTTGTAGCCACCACGTGGATGCTGGGAATCAAACCCGGGTCCTCTGCAAGAGCAGTCAGTGCTCTTAACCGCTGAGCCATCTCTCTAGCCCTGAGTCTCAGTTTTTAAGATGACATCTTGAACCAGGTGTGGTGGCACACACCTTTAATCCCAGCACTTGGGAGGCAGAGGCAGGCGGATCTCTGTGAGTTTGAGGCCAGCCTGGTCTACATAGTGAGTTCCAGGACAGCTGGGGCTACAGAGAGATCCTGTCTCAAAAAGACAAAAAAAAACCAAAAAAAAAAAAAAAAAAAAAAAAAAAAAAAAACAAAAAAAAACCATCTTGAATGATTTAAGAGGTAGAATGCTGTGTTCTCACAAGGCAGGAGGTCGAAGGGCAAAAAGGGATGAACTCTTTCTATTTTATAAGGGCACTATTAATCTATGCTCCCATGATCTGCACCTCCCAAAACCTCTACCTTTCAACATGGGTATTATTGGCATTAAGTTACCAATACATGAATTTTAGGGGATGCATTCAGATATACCAGAATGTCAATATTCATTCTCTTTCTGCAAAATGCTCCCAACAAGTCTTCATGTCATACCTTTTCCAAAAACTCTCAATGGCCTATTTATCTCTCCAACTTAAAATACAAATTCTATGGTACATTATAAAACCACTTATAATCGGGACTATGCCTATTTTTCTTGCTTCATCTCCTACCACATTTATCTAAGACATAAACTGGCTGCAGATATAGTTCAGCTGTAGAGAATTTACCAAGCATATTCAAAGGTCTGGATCTGATCCCCAGGACTGGAGACCAGCATTTTAAATAAATAAATAAATTTTTAATTTTTTATAGGTAAGTGCACCCATGTCATGCAATGCCCAGGGAGGACAGAAGAGGCTGTCGGATCCCCCTAGAACTGGAGTTACAGACAGTTGTTAGCTGCCATGTTGGTGCTGGGATTTGAACTCGGGTCTTCTGCAAGAACAGTCAATGTTCTTAACTGCTGAGACATCTCTCCAGCCCTAAAGTTTTTAATTTTTAAAATTCATTTTTATTATTTTGCCTACACGTATGTACGTGCACCCATGCACGCAATGCCAGTGAAGACCAGAAGAGGGCATTGGATCTTCCAGAATTGGAGTTACAGGTGGCTTTTAGCTGCATTGTGGGTGCTGGGAACGAAACCCAGGTCTTCTGTAAGAGTAGTCAGTACTCTTAACCACTGAGCCATCTCTCCAGTCCCCCAAATTAATTATTTTTAATTACTCATGTGTGTGGGTGGAAGTATGCACACATGTGTAGCTAAAAGAGGCCAGAAGAGGGCATTAGATCCCCTAGAGATGGAATTACAGATGATTGAGGGCCAAATGTGGGACCTGGGAACCAAAGTTGGGTCCTCCACAAGAATAGTATATACTCTTCATCACTGAGCCATCTCTCCATGACAAAATATGTAATTTTCACAATAATAAGGAGGTTGGAGTGTTGGCTTGGTGGATAAAGGTGCATGCTACCAAGCCTCACAACTTGATCTCTACAATCCATATATTGGAAGAAAAAAACAATTCCTACATGTTATCCTCTAACTCCAATGCTTGTGCTATGGAACACATGCACATGTGCATGTGCACAACAAACATACACACTAATAAATGTAAAAATAATAAGAAAAATTGCTCAGATATCAATGCTGCTTTCTTCTACTTCTATACAGTTGTTCAGACTGTCTGCGATGTATCTATCCCCACTTATTTCACTTGTAACAGCGAAGTTAATATTCTATTGTAAAAACAAAGTCTTTTATCCAAGTACTGTAGAGTAGCTCTTCTTCCATACTCTTTGTTCGCATCTATATTCCAAATCTGCTCTTCTGCATTATCATCATCTCTTTTGAATGGGCAAATATAATGCTTATCTGATAAACCTGAATTTTAGAATATTAAATCACATTTATACAGTAGTTTAAAGTTGTTAGTACATTTTATTTAATAGGTATGTAACATTTCTTTTCTCATTCATGCCAAGCTAGTATCATCTTGATTTAATAAATGGAAAACTGAATTTTGGAAAAGTAAATGGTTTGCCAAGGTAACAAAGGCATTAAGAGGTAAAATCTGACTTTCAAACCTAAACATTTTCTACTACACAATATTGCCTAACAAATAACAAAGTCTGCTTCAAAATGTTCTTCCAAACCTATTTACATGAAAAAAAAAAGATTTATATAAATAGGTTTGAGTCGTCTTTAGGAGTTTAAGTGCATATGAAAACAAATTACTTAACCTATTGATAACAACTTTAAAGATATTTCCTTATTTATTTATTTAATTTATTTATTTAAATTTATTGTATGGAGGATTGACCTATGTTGTACATGGTAGGGCAAGCACTCTACTACTGAGGTATATCACTAGCCCTCTTTAAACTTTACTTTTAAATATGGTTTCACTAAATTGCCAGGGCTAATCTTGAATTTATCTTGCTGAGACAGCCTTGAATCCATAATCTTCACTCAGGCTCTTGAGTAGCTAGAATTATAGGCTTATATATCTAGGCCCAGCAAAAATTACCTTCCTAATAATCTAATTTATATCACAGTATAAATCTGTAAAACATGTTTTCTTGGCAAACACAAAAATGTAGATTATGATTTTATCTTATATAAAAGCTGCTGTAGGCTAGAGATGGAGCTCAGTTGGTACAGTGCTTGCCTAACATGCAAGAAGTCCCAAGTTTGAGTTCCAACACAGAAAACAAACAAAAACCTGTGTCATATCTAGTTGTAAAATCTCATTAAGCTCAAATCTTTGAAACATTTAATGTAAAAGTTTACAGGCCACACATCTGTAATTCCAGTACTTGGGAGGATGAGGTAGGAGAATCATCCATGTCAAGGTCTACATGGCCTACAGAATGAGACCCTGTCTTAAATAACTCAATGAATCAATAAATAAAGTTAATGGTTCCTTGGTTAGGATTAATTACAAGACTTTATCTCAAAACGCAATTTATAGGGGGCTGGAGAGATAGCTCAGCAATTAAGAGCATGTAAAGCTCTTTCAGAGAATCCAAGTTTGATTACCAGCACCTACGTCAGGTGGCTCACAATGACCTGGAACTCCAGCTCCAGGGACTCTGATGCCTCTGGTTTCTGCAGGCACCAGCAGCACTCATATGCATGTGTACATGCACACATGCATGACTAAAACTAAAATAAATCTTTTTTTTGGTCTTTTTGAGACAGGGTCTCCCTGTAGCCCCAGCTGTCCTGGAACTCACTATGTAGACCAGGCTGGCCTTGAACTCACAAAAATCCCAAACTACAATTTATATAAAAGATTTTATGTCGTTTATATATTTTTAAAGTAGACCAAGCACTTTCTCATGAATTAAGTTTCTTTTTTCTATCATATATATGAATCAAAATTTTATTTTCCAGAATGTATTCAACATTTTACTTAGTGGTAATATTAATTTAAAGGCTTTTTCCATTTAAGAATATAAAGTTCATTTATTGGTTTTAAGTAATACAACTTAATTTCAGAAATAAATATCATTACATTAATAATCATTATTACTAGTATTCCAAGAATTCATCTGAATCCAGAATGCCAATAACAAAATCAACACATGAAAAAGAAACTTTTTTGAGACAGGGTTTCTCTGTAGCCCCTGATGGCTTGGAACTCACTATGCAGACCAGGCTGGCCTTCATCTCACAGAGATCTGCTTGGCTCTGCTTCCTAAGTGTTGGGATTAAAGGTGTGTGTCACCATGTCCAGTCTAACACATGAAAATTTTAAGAGATGGTTCAGTGGGTAAAGGCACTTGCTGCCAAACCTGATGATCTGAGTGTGATATCTGGAGCCAACATGGGGGAAGGAGAGAACTGACACACACAATTTTCTCAGCACACGTCATACACAGACACAGATACACACACACACACACTCACACACACACACACAAATGCAATCAGTCAATAAAGGTAAGAAAAAAATTGGGGGCTGTGCGATGACTCAGCTGGTCAAGGCACTTGCCACCAAACTTGACAACAGGAACTCAATCTCCAGGACCCCAAGGTAGAAGAAAAGGAGACTCCTGCAAGAATCATTGAACCAGTGAGATGGCTCATGGGGTAAAGAGGCTTGCCACCAAGGCTGATGACCTAAGTTCCCTCCCTACAACCCACAGGGTGGAAGGAAAGAACTGACTCTCATAGTTGCCTTTTGACCTCCACATGTGCTCCCGAGCTCTCTCCCACACACACACACACACACAAATAAATAAATAAATAAATAAATGTAATAAATTTTAAAATTTTGAATGTTTTAATGAAAAATGAAAAAAATGGACAATAAAAAAGAATATTAATTTTCTTTAGAACTAGACATGGTGGCTAGGCATATACTCTACCATGTCTAATAATACCAGCACTCAGGAAGCTGAGACAGGAGGATTGTACCAGATCTGAGACCAGCCTGTAAATGTACACACACAGTAAATACCAGCCCAACCAAGAATACATAGCAACATCTTGTCTCAAAAAGAAAAACTTATTTGCTTTAAAAACATACTTTGAACTAGGAATACGGCTCAGTAGTACAGCAGTGGCCTAGAATGCTCAAGGCCCTGGGTTCAACTCTCAGCACCATAAAACAAACAAGTCCCACATACCTTTTTCCTTGTTTACGTTCTTCAAGTAAGTCCACCTTTAATTTTATACATTCCTCTTTGGCCTCTTGTAAACTGTGTTCCTTTTCAATCACCATCTTCTGGCTCTGCTCTAATTTATCTTCTGCCTCTCTATAAATAAGAACATTTATGGACTATTAAAATGGTTACTGCAGATATACAAGAATAATGCAACACTAGGAATCCTATTACTCTAAACCAGTGAGTTAAGAGAAACAAAGACACAATGAGGTAGATAGAGAAAAAAGCATTTTCACAATGTATCAACTAAAGAGGTTTTTAAATAAGGAATAAAAGTGCACTCCCATCAAATGAGAAATACATCTAAAGTAAAATATGATGAAATACATAATATTTCATGTTCAAGAGCCGGGCATGGGTACACACCTGTATTTCTAATATTCAGGAGGCAGAATAAATAGAATCTGGAACTTGAAGTCATCCTTAGCTATGCAACGAGTTTGAAGCCAGCCTGGGTTATATCAGGTGCTGTTTTTTAAAAAAACAAAACCCAAACCCAAACAGCCCCCATGAGCTCCCTGATCCTCCTATGAGCTCCCTGATCCTCCCATGTGCTCCCTGATCCTCCCATGTGCTCCCTGATCCTCTCCCGAGCTCCCTGAGCCTCCCATGAGCGCACATCAGCTTCTTTCTAGTCTCAGCCTACTGCTGCAGTCAGTCATGTTAGTCTCTGCCCTTTTGCTTCACTACAGCTGGAGCTGGAGCCTGCCCCAGAGGCTTCCTGCACCTCGCCTCTGTCTCCAGTCCCAGCAACACTTTCTAGTCAGCACATTGCTATTCTCACAGGTCACATGAGGCTGATGCTTGCTGTGAGACATACTTCAAAAAGCCAGTCGTACATGCCTGGGATTGCATAAAGGGATAAACACACTTGTTGGCTATGACCTAGCTCCTGAGCCCAAAATTATTGATGCTGCATTTCAGGCCTACAGACAGTTATGATTTGGTTAGTACTGCTTGTGTCCTAGAGGTTGTTAAGGACAAAGCAGGACCTCATAAGGACATCTACCTCTTTGTCATCCAGGAATTTTGTTCTAGTTTGTCTTCAATTGCTGTGACTAAACCACTCTGACCAATACCAACTTGGGGAGGAAAGGGTTTATTTGGCTTACATCTCCCGGGTCACAGTTCATCAGGGAGCCCAAGGTAGGGACTCAGGGCAGGAACTTGGAGGCAGGAGCTGGAGCACAGGCCATAGAGGAATGCTGCTTACTGGCTTGCTTCCCTGGCCAGTGTTCAACCTGCTTTCTTAGATAACACAGGACCACCTGCCCAGGGGTGGCACCACATACAGTGGGCTGGGCCCTCCCATATCACTCAACAATCAAGAAAATGCCCCATAGACATGGCCACAGGCCAGTCCAATGGAGACAATTCCTCAATGAGGCTCCCTCTACCCAGGTGTGTCAAGTTGACAACCAAAGCTATCCAGCACAAACTCAGACCAACTTTAAATGAACTGGGAATCTCCACTCCAGAGGAACTTAGTCTCCAAATAGTATAAACAATCCTTTGATGGATTTTCAAGGATTTACTGCTATTGCTACTTGATGGAAAATCACCTGGAATTGTTTTATTTGAACAAATTTTCCTCTGAGTATCAAACCATGTAACTTGGACTTTAATGAAAAGGAAATAAATTGGAATTGGAAAAAAAACCCAACATATTTCATCCTCACTGTGGGCACCACTATGTACTTCAGAAATGAAGTAGGTGTAACTGCTCTCATTATTACAGCGGAGGATATATTTGACTGTTCAACCCAATGCAAAGCAAAAATGCAAAAGTAGCAAGAAGCATAAATCCTGTGAAGGAAAATTTTATTTGGGGATAATATCATTTAGCTAGCGTGAATATTGAGGACAATCAAAATGAAAAATTATTAAAATGAGGTATAAGAAATAGTTCAGGGGGCTGGAGAGAGATGGCTCAGAAGTTAAGAATACTGACTGTTCTTGCAGAAGACCTGGGTTTGAATCCCAGCACCCACATGGTAGCTAACAACTGTCTGTAACTCTAGTTCCAAGGGATCCAACAGTCTCTTCTGTCCTCCGTGGGCAATGCAGGACAGAGGTGCACTTACCTACATGCAGGCAATACACGCATACACATAAAAATACAAATAAAATATTAAAAAAAATAGTTCAGGGGCTGGCAAGATGGCTAAGCGGGTAAAGGCTTGCCACCAAAACTAATGACCTGAGTTAGACCCCTGGAACCAACATGGTGGAAGGAGAAAACTGACTCCAGCAGGTTGTCCTGACCACCACATGCATGCTATGGCATGCAAGCACCTCCACACACACAATAAATGAATAAAAGCAACAAAAATAATTTTAAAAAGTAGTCCAATTACAAATAATCATCATATAGAATATTAAAATCAAGCCAGACACAATGATGCATACGTTTAAGTTCCAACCACCTGGAAGAATCAGGCAGGGGATAACTTAACCCTAGGGGTCAGGGCCAGTCTAGGCAATATAGCAAGATCTTATCACTTGGGAGAGGGGGACATGATCAGGAAAAACTTCACAAATACGTAAAATATCCAGGAATAAATTTAAACTTAGATGTATATGTAATACAAACAAACTATAAACTGATAAGAATTGAAAACACTTTTGGTATATAACAGAATCATCTACAGTACTAATTAAAATGTGTTGCTGGGTCTCATATTGCCAAGTTTGTGGTTCATAAGCTTCAGACAGGATCCAAGACTTTGCATTTCCACTCTGTTCCTAATAATGCTAGTCTCAAAACTGCATTTTGAAAATAACTCAAATAATGTAGCATGCTATTCAGTATACACTTCCTTTCCCATTCTCTCAAGGCAGACAATAAAAATAAATGATAAAATATCTGATTTTTTGTACTTAAACTTTATTGAAAGAGTGAGTACAGATAGGACGAGAAATGAATTCATAATTGATAAAAATATGTCAATAAGCACTCCAGCTTAAATGTATTCATCTTTGGTTCCTATATACTACATATAATCTATAGTCATAAGAAGTTATAACTGACTGAAATCAATTCAACAAGGTGTAAGACATTAGGTCACTATATAGATCCATTGAACAGGTGGTAAGAGACAATATTTAATAAGACACAGCAAGTACAAGCTTAAAATAAAAAAGTTTAAAGCTCACAAAATGTATTTACCTCAAAACTTTATCTTGAGCTGAAACTTCTGCTTCCAAATTTAAAATCTGCTCTTCTAAGATTGGGATGTTGGCTGCCTGCTGTTCAGCAGACACAAGAATAGATATCTAAAACATAGGAACAACTTTCACAGTACTGTTTCAAAAAATGAATACACTTGGATGTTAGTCTTCTTTGTGTCAGTCAGTGGCTAAATGTAAAGCCCATCTTATCTAATCCTTTGATCTGGGTTTCCACGGACAAGCCATCATCACAAGACAGACACAGCATGTAAGTTCCCGCCATTAATCTCAGATAACTGATTTAGCTATTTAGAGAAAATACATATAACTCCTGACATCACCTAGAAATAATAATTTCACATAAATTAGGTTATATATAAAATATCAAAGTGAAAAAATCAGGTAAGAAATATGTATTAAATTTTTATGATTTAAAAACTAACTTAGAATACATGTTTAATAGAGACAATCCAGGCAATATGGAAAGGCGCAGTAATCCTACAACCAGGAAGAAGCTGAAGATAGTACAACTATTGCAGCAGGGCAGGAATCCACAACCTAAATGGTGGAGGAGACTAATCATTCTTGAATTAGTCAGTAATCAAAATATCAGTGAGAACTACTTATTCTTGAAAAGTAAATTCAGAACGCAAAGGATAGAAATACAAGAGACAGAATCCAGAGTCCCTACAGATAAGTCAGCCCCCCTTTCCCCACCCCTGGAATAGCAACAGCAAGATAAAGAAGTAGAAAGCTTGCTATATGAAGATACTGAGCAGGAAAGGCCTGGGATTTGGGGACAAGCAGAGATGGTGTAGAGCTATAAACAAAGGGACTAGGGGTTGGGGATTTATCTCAGTGGCAGAGTGCTTGCCTAGCAAGCACAAGGCCCTGGGTTTGGTCCTCAGCTCCCAAAGGGGGGGGGGGGGAAAAAAAAAAAAAAAAAAAAAAAAAAAAAAAAAAAAAAAGACCCAAGTTTCAACTCCCATCTCATCTCACTTGGGGCTATCCCACAAGCAGGAACCCAGAGCCAGAGACTTTACTGAAGAAACTAGCTCCAGATAAAGAGAAAGATAAAGATCATCACATGATCCTCATTAGGGGTCACCAGACACTACAGAAAAGGGCCACCTCACGTCAAGCGCAGGACCCATGTCAGCTCAATAAAACAAGGGCACAAAGGGAAGGTGAGAAATAAGTGAAGGCCAGCACTAGATTAAGAACTATTTGAGACTGATTGCTGCTAGGTGAGGGAGAGTATAACTAGACTCCAGTGGATGCATTTACACTGAAGGACATTTGGGTATAAATACCTGAATGAAAAGGACTCAGCAGAGTGCATAGGGTTTGGTGGTCAGATAGGGAGAGGCATGGATGGGGAAGGGAGGGTCTGGATTTGAGTGGGAAACGTATGAAATTTTAAAAACTCAATAAAAAAATTAATAAAGAAAAAAAGGGCCACCTCTATACTCACAACATACAGCTTCAAATTACTTCTAAATATCTTCCTCTTAAATATGAGAAATCAAAGCACTAACATCTGAAAAAAGATTCTAAACTAAAATAAAACAAAAAACTAGCAGCAAGCAAAGCCAATACATAAAACAAACAAAAAAATGTTAAATCTTCAGAGCTTAGAGAAAATACTGCATCAGGGTGTTATAATATATAGATATAAGAAGAATTTGCAGGTCAAAAAGACATGTTTCCAGCTTAAAAGAGCCCTCATGTAATCAACAAAAGTGGTAAAGCCTATTCAAAGATATGTCAACATGAAATTTTAAAATGCCAGGGAAAAGGGAAAATTATACAACTTATCATAAGCAAAAACAATGGGAAAAGATTACATGCTGAGGAGAGTGATTAACAATAGCATCAGACTGTCAGTAGCTTTGGGGTTTCATTGTTGTTTTCCTCTCTGCATCAGACCTTTCAAAAGCAGTACTGGAGAACAGACAAGAAAGCAATGCCCCCAAAATTCTGAGATACGATCATTTATATAAAATCTAATCATGAGTTAGGAAGAATTCACAAATATTCAGATAGTCAAGGAAGCAAGCTCCACTTACATAAAGTATACAAGAACGGGATTTAGGAAACGGTAGCTCCAAGTTAGAAAACATAGGAAGTCTTAGACTGGCAACTAGCTAGCAGGCCTGGAAAACAAAACACTCAGGAAGAGAAAAAAGGCTGCTGGGCTCCAGAAACTCACAAAATATTATCAAAATGTAAATTCTGGGGGGGAGATGCTGAGTGGGTAGAGTCACTTACCTCCAAGCCTGACAGTCTAAGTTCAATCCCTGAAACCCACATGGTTGTAGAAGAGAACTGACTCCTGCAAACCATCCTCTGACCTCCACACATGCACTATGGTGCATCTATATGTGTGTGCGCAAGCAAACACACACACACACACACACACACACACACACACACACACTGTAATCTTAAAAAGGTAAATTCTGAATATACTAATTCAGTCAGTGGATAACTTCAGCAAAAAGTTCTTAATAGTGACATATATGTAACATTTAAATCTCACAACGACTCTTGAAAAGACAGCCTTCCTAAAAAAATATTTCATTTTAGCAATTTAGAAAATGTTAAGATGGAGACTAAGGGTTGGAAAGATGGCTCAGCAGCTAAAAGCACTGGCCTGTCTTGCAGAGGACCCAGGTTCAGTTCCCAATGTTCACATGGTGGCTGACAACTGTCTGTAACTCCAGTTCTAGGGGATCTGATGCCCTCTTCTGGCCGCTTCATCATACTCAGCTTTGAGTAATAGTTTTTAAATGTCGAGTATGAACATAAACTGTCCTGAGTACCTTTATTTTGTTTGATGGTGATATTGATCAAACCCAGGACCTATGCTTGCTAGGCAAGTGCTCCACTGCTAACCTATACCCCCAACCCTTCTAAGTGCTTTTAAATATAATATGATTTAAATCTCAAAATCTTCTATTTAAAACAAACAACTTTGTATCTTAGTCCTATTATGTCTTTTTTCTTAAAAAAAAAAAAAAAAAGTTTTGTTGCAATCCATTTTATGGGTATAGTAGAGTTTACCCTACCATATTTCTATGGTTAGATCAGACATTTTGAGTTTTTCCATTTTCAAGTGTTTTTGTTGAGGGGGAGGTGTTATTTGTTTGTTTGTTTGTTTACACAGGTTTTCTTATCGCCCAGGCTGGCTTCAAGGTCTCTATGTAGCTGAGATGACCTTGAAATCCTGCTTCTACCACCTCTACCTCTGAAGTGCTGGAATTACAGGCATGTGCCACCACAATCAGCTAATTCTTCATATCTTGTATGATACCAGTGATATAGTGGGAAAAAACTAAATAGAGAAATTAAGTTATGGTATCACATAATGAAATAAAATGCTAACAAAAAAAATCAATAGAAAAGCCATGTAAATGCATCAGAAAATGCCGAATAGTATATATAAAGTAAAAAACATTAAAAACCAAAACTATTCAAAGCAGTCTGGATTCAACTATATAATAAGCCAATAAGGGGATTTCTAAATGGTAGAAATTTGGGGTGATCTTTCTACTTTTTAAGTTTTCAACAACAAAACTTTAAGAAGCTCATTTATCTTAATGTAAAAACTAAAATGTTCTTCTAAATTATTTTCAGATGTAACCTGATCTCATACCTTGTCAAGTCTATTAGCATATAAAAATTTCTATATACAACACCAGCAATAAATATTTTCCAATTATAAATCATAAAATATTTCAAATATTTCCTTTTGGTCTACTTATGAGATACATACTTTTGCTTTTGACTGTGTCAATTCAAAATGGATAGATTCCATTTTAATCATTAAGGAATGATTCTGTGTGACCAAACAAGCATTCTGTTGCCTAAGTTTATTAAGTTTCTCTCGAAGGCTTTGCATTTCCTGATCCATAGAAGGAGATGAAAAAGATACCTGAAAAATAAAAGCATCTATTTTAAATTATGGATTATTTATAATTAATGGAAAATGGCAACAATTATCATTAAAATGATTCAGCAACTCAGGAAAGTGAGTTGAAAAATTTAGTGAGTACTAATAAAAATGTGTGAGACAATCAGTAACCTTTTCCACTGCTGGTAGGGTTCTATCTTAAGAACAAATTGGAAAAGCAGTGGCACACTTTATTAAATTGCTTGACATTATCTACTAAGTCAACCAAGAATTTTACTCCTTGGTATAAATATGATAGAAACCTTTGCATTTTTGCACCTAAATATATAAACATATTTATAGCTACTGTTCATAAAATATATGAAAAAAATTCACATGCCAAAAATGAGACAAAATATTCTTTAACTTATACATATTATGCTCTTTTAAATATATATCTTAGCCAGGGGTGGTGGTGAATGCCTTTAATCCCAGTACTCAGGAGCAGAGGCAGGTAGATCTCTGAGATGAGGCCATATGGACCTACAAATATGCATTTCTCCCAAGAGTTTTGAAAATAAAAATGAAAATTAAAATTTGTAAAAAAATAATACATGTGCCAAGCATGGTGGTATGTGTCCAGCACTGGGGAGGCAGAGGCAGGTGAATCTCTGTGAGTCCAAGGCCAGCCTGGTCTACATAGTGAGTTCCAGGCCAACTGGGGTTATAGAGAGACCCTGTCTATATAATGTTTGTTTTTTGTTTTGGGGGGTTTTTTTGAGACAGGGTCTCCCTGTAGCCCCAGGTAGAGAGTCTAACCATGTAGCCCTGGCTAGCCTGGAGCGCCTAGAGATCTGCCTGCCTCTTCCTCCTGAGCACTGGGGTTAAAGGCATGCACTAGCATGCCTGGCACAAAGATAATTATATTCTTTTTAGGAGATAAAAAGAACAGTTATATGCCAATCTTGAATACTACAGTAAAATGTGAATAAGGCAGTTAAAAAAAAAACTATTGTAAGTAGTTATGTCTAAAAATAATAACCTTATCTCTTGGCTTTTTCTGAAAATCAGCACTACTACCAGATGTTTTACAGACTTTCTTATAAGGTGGGTAATTCAAATGTCCCAGATGGCTAGGCTGAGTGAGATTGTCCAAAATAAATCTTTCAGATCTTGAAGGATTGCAGACATAATCAGAATTTTCACTTGGACTAACACTAAAGAACAAAAAAAAAGTTGCATTTCAGTTCCAATATTGTTTTTACCACAAATTTCTACATAATAAGAAAATAACCAAAATTAGAACCCTAGTTATGAATGTAAGTTAAATCCACTACATTTTCTTTAATAAACCACAGTTAATTTTCACATTAGCAAAAACTAATTATGTACTTCCTAAGACTCTATGCTAGGATTATTCAGCATTCAAAAAGCAGCTATAATAATGAAAGATTAATAAAGTCCCAAATACATATTTTATACTGATGCCTAAAATATTAAAGATGTTTTCTTAGTAAGTAAATGCTCTTTAATAGTCCCATTTTTCACAAACTGACTATTAAAAAGCATAGAAAATTATGTCATTCCAGAGGTACATCAAACACAACCTATAATGAAGTCTAAGCATTTTACATTTATAAATTAAAGTAACTCTGAATTGTACATGTGATTTTATTTACTTGCCTGGATAACTCTTCCCCTAAATTCTGCAAGCTCCATTCTGTTATCTTTAGTTCATGTCTTAATGAAGCAACGTTTGCAAGCAAACTTTCTTCCTCGTTGTCTTTATTATAGTAGTCTGATGAACGAGATTCCATTTCTTAAAAAAAAGAAATAAGAAAATTCTTGTACCTTTCATGAAGATTCTATTCCATATTCCTGTGGTAATAAAAGTTCATTATTTTCCTACATCATATGTTGCAAAATCTTTCATAACAGTAAAAAAAAAAACAAAAAACACCTACAACATGGAGCTGGAGATACAGCTTAGCAGTTTAAGAGCACCAGCTACTTCAGCAGAGAACCCAGGTCTGATTCCCTGCTAACAGCCATCTTCTGTAATTCCAGTTCTAGAGGAGCCAATGCCCTTTTCTGGCCTCTGTGGACATGCATGCATGTGGTGTACTTACACACATGAAGGCAAAACACTCCTACACATAAAATAATTTTTTTAAATCTTAAAGCCTAAATATGAATTTTCTCCATGGTGTAAAGCCAAAATAGAAAATTCAATGCAATTTCAATGGATTCATTTTCTATTTTAAGGTCCATTCATTACAGTTCCCCTTTTCCTAAGTACATGTAATCTTCCTAACAAGTGTATAAACTATTTTTGTTCTAAGTTCAAAGTGAAGAAACTGATTAAGAAGTTAATTTGCCAGCTGGAAAGAATGTTCTGCAGGTAAAGGCGGACACACACCCACAAAAATGAATCTTTTTTTTTTTTTTTTTAAAAAAAAAAAGGATGTTTGCTGGGCATGGTGGTGCATGCCTGTAGTCCCAGCACTTGGGAGGCAGAGGCAGGCGGATCTCTGTGAGTTCAAGGCCAGCCTGGTCTACATGGTGAGTTCCAGGACAACTGGGGCTACAGGGAGACCCTGCTTCAAAAAGACCAAAAAAAAAGTATGCTTATTTGCTCCAGGTTACACAAATTGTAGAGTCAATCCAAGATTTGAATCCAGGTCATCAGAGTTCACTGACTTTTTAATTATGTTAAGGTATACTTTTATAACTAATTATTACATATCAACTTCAATATGAGGTGTTAGAATTTTTTCTTTTTTGGCCTTTTTGAGACTGAGTCTCCCTGTACCCCCAGCTGGCCTGGAACTCATTAGTTGACCAGGCTGGCCTCGATCTCACAGAGATCTGCCTGCCTCTGTCCCTTGAGTGCTGGGTTTAAAGACACGAGCCACCACGCCCGGCCAGGTGCCAGAATTTTTATCATTACCTTATAAATTGTAGACATATGATAAAATGTTATTATCACTGTCTTTCATATGTTCTTTTCTAAAATTTTTATTTATTTAATTTCACGTGTATGAGTATTTTGTCTACAAGTATGGAAGTACAACTTTGTCATGCACGTGGGGGACAGAAAAGGGCATCAGATCTCCTGGAACTGGAATTAGGGATTTTTTTTAGCTGTCATTTGGGTTCTGGGAACCAAACCTGGCTCGCCTGCAAGGGCAGACACTGCTTTTAGCTGTTGAGTCATCTCTCCAGCCCCCTGTATCTTCTTAAAAGATAAATGTCATCTCTACCCATTCACAATGGTAGTAAAATTTAAAAACACATTCACAAGTTACAGTCACAGATCCAAATGATATTTAGCAGTTCAATTCAAAAAATTATAGAGTGAATCTCGTTTCTTCAATAGATGTGCCATGCATCTCTAGGGTTATGAAACTATACCTGTCTTCACACATTAAAAAAAATCATGATAAAGGTCATTTTACTATACAATTATTAAAATAAAATCCAAAAGCTTTAGAATTCCTATTCTTCCTACAGACCTTTCTGTATAAACCTGTAATTTCATTTATCTTTGATGCCTTTAAATTTTTTCATTTTAGCTCCTTTCATCACCCTTCTTAAAATTCACACCACATCCTAAGCTCCAAAATGTTGAAATTCTTGCATCTTACATTTGAGTGTTTAGAAAAGCTCAATATTTTGAATAAATGAATAACCCCCCCTTCAATCCAGCTAAAATAATTCACTACATTTATTCCCTATTCAAAACTTCTCAGGTGTAGGGCGGATTATTCAAAATTCTCAACTTACTGGAAAAAGTTGAGGCGTGAAATTGAATGAGCTGTTTTAAATGTTTCTACCCGCTTTCCCGCTGGTTTCCACAAATGTGCTTCTCTTTAAATTCGAAGACTTCCCCAAACAGTTGGTGACTCAGGTCCCCATTCTGCTTCACACTATTCAACATCATCTCTGGCTCCCTATAGGATGAGGGTGAAAGGTAAAGAAAATTTAGACTTCAAAATGCCATTCAGTACTGTGTATCATCTAAGTCAGGCTGTATGTTCAGCAATTTCTGTGTATTTTCGTGTAAGAATTTTCTAACTCTTCTGAAGCAGCAATAAATACATCAATATTCAAATATTCAAATATTCTCATTTTCCCAGAGGGCCATTTACCTGTAGTATGTACGTGGAAGGTACATCATCCTAACTACAGCCCTGACAACGGCATCTAGCCCGGAGGACAAGCACTCTACACATCCCGAACGAGATTTCTACGTAGGAGAGATTCACAGTTTTTCAGTCGGTACCCTATCTCGGGAAGGCTCATCTGACACACTAAATCTTCCATTTGCCTGGTGGGAGTAGAGCAAAACCTGACATCCTCCTCTCCGATCTGCATCACATAAACTACACCGCTGCACAACCGCATCCTCAGCAGAACTAAATCAAGCGCACCTCTAGCATCGGTAGAGAAAGATACATCTTCAGAATACACCGATTCCGGTCAAGAGGCTTTTGCTCACCACCCAGGGTTCAGCTGGGGCTAGACACCCCAGATCACGGCGCGCCGCGCGACTCTGCTGCGCTCGGGAGCCTGGGCCCCTCTCCAGGCCACGTTGTCGAAGTCTCAGACACACAGAGCGAAGAACAAGCGAAACCCAGCTGCGCCGAGTTCGAACCGCCGCGGGAGCCGTTGGGCCGCGCCTCCACCCCGCCCCCGGGCCGCCCCGCATGCCCATTGCCGAAGCCCAGGGCATGCCGGGAGTTGTGGGTGGAAGCACAGCAGGGCCCTGACACCTAGTTCGTGGGGAACTACATTTCCCACAACTACCGCCGGAGACGTTCATTGGCGTGGGAAAAGCCTAGGGAATCCTAGGTGGAGTGTGAGGCGGGCGGTGCTCACCCAGGAGGCGCAGAAAGGGGCCACTGGCCCCGCCCTCAGTCCCAGCACCGAGGAGGATAGCGCTTCCCTTTTCCGAGCGAGCTAGTGCCGCCCCCGCCCAAAGTTCCCTGGGACTCGCGATCTCGAGGCCACGAGGAGCCCAGGGAGGAAACGCAGACCGAAGGCGCAAGCACCGTATACCTCGGTCAACGCCTTTGGCCTCAGATCGCCCCGGCAGGGATGGGCGACTCGATCTGGCTGCCCTTCCCGGTGCTCCTCCTGGCCCTGCTGCGCGGGGCGGCCGGCTTCACGCCGTCTCTGGACAGCGACTTCACCTTCACGCTGCCGGCCGGCCAGAAGGAGTGCTTCTACCAGCCCATGCCCCTGAAGGCCTCGCTGGAGATCGAGTACCAGGTAGGAGCGGAGGGCGGACCAGCCTTCTCCCCTTAGCCCGGCTGCACCGCATCCTCGCCGCTCACCCGCGTGGGAAACTTCTGGGTGCACGGCGGGGGAGGTGACTGGGGACGGGGTCTCCAGGGAAGCCGGCCTGCTCCACGCAGGCGCACGGGGCGAGGCTCTGGGGCGCCTGGGACCCACAAGTTTGGCCAGTCCTGGAACTGACAACCACCCCGCCCTCTTCCCTTTCCTCTGGTCGGAAAGAGGCCAATGCTCATGATGCCGGTGACTTTATGCTTTGTTTCTAGATTCACCCTGGGCTAGCTAGCTACTAATACGCTGCAGTTCTGAGAAGTTCACAGTACAGGACTGATTGATACACGTTCTCTTTTATTATTGGACGAAATGAAGACACTTGTTTGAAACACCCCCACCACTTTCACCCAGATCAAATATTATAAATCATCACGGTGTTTGCTTCAGTTAAGAATTTCTGAATTGTGACCATGTGAATATCTCTAAGCCCTATTTTGGAAATATATGGCAACCATATTTCGTTGGTACATTTCCGTCCCACTTGTATATACACTATTTTAAAATCAAATAAGATTAAATCGTATGTTAAAACTTTATGACCTTAATTTCGTTGAACACTGTCAGCGTTTTTCCCATACCATTGTTTTCTTTGTAGTATCTGCAGAATACGCTATTACAAAGAATTGCTTTAATATATTCTGGTTGGGGATTGTTTCTTAAAAGACTACTAGGGATTGTTTCTTAAAAGACTATTAGTTCTACACGGATAATTTAAATGTTTCCAGGTAGCAGTGCACAAAAATATGTGCTGATGTGTGTTATCTCTAAGGATTTTTTTTAACAGAATACTTAATTTATATCCAAATGCTATTTTTTAAAGTTAATGTAGAGATTTTTAAAGTACCCAGTGCTGTTAGGCATAAAACAAAATAAAAGTTAATATAGGTGGGATTGTAGAAGCAACTCAGCAGTTAAGAGCATTTGCTGCTCTTACAGAGAACCTGGGTTTGGTTCCCAGCACCTACATGGTGACTAACAACAGTCTGAAACTTCAGTTCCAAGGGATCCAGTGCACATACATACATGAAGGCAAAACATAGCACATTAAAAAAATGTTATGTAGGTGACTAGAGCAATGACTCAGTAGTAATTGCAGGCACACGGTGCATGTATATACACCAAAACATGCTAAATTAATTTTTTGTTGTTGTTATTCTTTTTGAGACAGGGTCTCCCTGTAGCCCCAGCTGTCCTGGAACTCACTATGTAGACCAGGCTGGCCTTGAACTCACAGAGATCCGCCTGCCTCTGCCTCCCGAGGGCTGGGATTAAAGGCGTGCACCACCACGCCTGGCTTTAAATTAATTTTTAAGTTATGTAGAATTTTTATATGAAGAAACTTTAGAATTAAATTATTTATAAATGTAAATGGTAAGTACAGAGAGTCACATATCTAAAAATCATAGTGAGTGAGGGGCTGGAGAGATGGCTCAGTGGTTAAGAGCACTGACTGCTCTTGCAGAGGACCTGGGTTCGATTCCCAGCACCCACATGGTGGCTACGAACCGTCCTTAACTCCAGTTCCAGGGGAATCCAGAGCCCTCTTCTGACTCACATACATGCACGCAATACACTCATACACATAAAATAAAAATAAAATATTTAAAATCATTGTGAGCAAAACTGAGATTATAACACATTTCTCAATTTCCAGTTGTGTTCAAAAGTTCAGCATTTACTGAACATTTAATATGTGCCAGAACTTGTAAAGTAAGGAATGATAAAAAAAGAATCCTAGCTTTTAGGATTTCTCAGGTTCATAAACAAGTTTTGATTTGGTTTCAGGTTTGCTGCTATCATTGGCTGGCTGGCTGGTTGGTTGGTAGGTTTTTTTGAGACAGGCATTCACTGTGTACTCCAGGCTGGTCTTGAACTCACTGTATAGCCCAGGCTAGCCTTGAACATCACAGCAGTCCTCCTGCCTCAGCCTCCGAAGTGCTAGTATTACATGAGCCGTTACGCCCCACTTAGGTAATTTCAATAAAGTATGGTTAAGTGTTATTAGAATATGGTCACTTCTTAGGTTCAGAGAATAGGCTTGCTGGAAAAAATTAAATCTGAAAATGAGATATGAATGCAAGAAATGAGGTCAATTTCAGAAAGGGAAACTGAGCAGGCAGTTTTGAAATGTATAGTTTGAGTGTTTAGGGCAGGTATGTGTGTACTCTGCACTACAAGTATTGAGTTTTAATTAGCTTTAAAGACTGTAAAGTCTAAAGGAAGGAGTAGCAAAAAAGGAACTAGATCAGGAGGCCAGGCAGTGGATCGGGAACCATAACCTTGTGTGCCATGCTAAGTAACTCATTCCCTCATTTTTGGCAAATGACACTTGAGACCTAAGCAAATTGCTGGCTGGAGTGTGAAGGCAGATTTGAGGGAAGACAAGTTAGAGGCAAGGAAACCAACTATAGAATTAGTGAAAAACTCTAGGTGAGTAAACAATTTTTATTAATAAAAAATTCCTTAGAAGCCAGGCATGATGGTGCATGCCTATGTTGGAGACTCAAATAATGATCAACCTCTGGAAGGTTAAGGTAGGAATATCACAAATTCAAGTCTAGCCTGGACTACATAGTGAGGCCCAGTCTCCAAAAAAAAAATTCCTATTTACCCATATATCTTAGAAAAGAAATCTGTTGTCATCTTGGGTTCAAAGCCTGCATTCACAGTCCTGATTCCTTAAAACTTGTGTGATCTTGAACAAGTTACAGTTATATAGCTTGCTGTATGTTTAAACTTTGTATCTTTAGTTGTGTTCCATCCCCCCCTTTGAGACAGGGTCTCCTGTAGCCCAGGCTGGCCTCAAACTTGCTATTGGCCCAGGATGGCCTTGAACTCATGGTGATCCTCATGGTGATTCCCCCTTAGCCTCCCAATAGTTATCTTTTGAGCCAGGAAATACACTCATATACATAAAAAATAATAAAAATAAAACATTTTTTAAAAAGAAAAACTAGGGGCTGGAGAGATGGCTCAGCAGTTAAGAACACTGGTTGTTCTTGCAGAAGACCTGGGTTCGAATCCCAGCACCCACATGACAGCTAACAACTGTCTGTAACTCGTTCCAGGGGATCTGATGGCTTCTTCTGTCCCCAAGGGCATTGTACGACATGGGTGAACTTACCTACGTGCAGGCAACACACTCATTCACATAAAATATAAAATAAAAAAATTTTTAAAAAGAAAAAGTAGTCAGTGGGCATAGTGTTTTCTTTTTAAGAAGCTACACTATATAGTATTTTTAAAAAATGTTTTTCAAAAGTTTTTGCATATAGAAGAGAAATGATAGCCATTGAAAGTTTTTCTCTATTCTTCCTTTTTTTCATTAAAAACTATTGCTTAATTTATAAAGTGGTGGGGGAGGCCTGGAAAGATGGCTCAGCAGTTAAGAGCACTGACTGCTCTTGCAGAGGACCTGGGTTCAAATCCCAGCACCCACATGATGGCTAACAACCACCTGTAACTCCAGTGTCAGGGGATCCAATGCCCTCTCTGACCTCTGTGGGCATTGCACAACACAGGTGCACTTACATGCATGTAGACTCATACACATAAAAATAATAAAAATAAAACATTTTTGTAAAAAAAGCCAGTGGGCATAGGTGGGTTTTTTTTTAATTTTTATTGAACTTTTGGTATATATCATACAGAACAACTCAGTCTTAATCATCTTTATAACCCATCCCCACTGGCACCCTCCCATACCACCCCCCACTGGGTCATCCCTGTTAAGGCCAACTGCGTTGTCAGTGTCCCCAACCGTTCCCCAGTGCAAGTCCATTCACTAAGTCTAGTCAGCCCATATAGAGTCCTTTGTTTTAGGAAGATCAGCTCTTCTTCATCTAGCAGCTATCAGTTGCCTGTTCATACAATTCTATGGCAATGGTGTCAGCATACACAGGTGTTTTTTAAGAAGCTACACTATATAGCATTTTAAATCAATGCTTTTCAAAAATATAGTTTTGCATATAGAAGAGAAATATAGCCATAATAAAAGAAGAGAAATGAAAGAGGGAGACATGAAGACAGATGAGCAGACGGTGCTATAGAGCAACGTCACCACACTTGAATTGTGTAAGATGACAGAAGATGTTAAAATATTTGCTTTGCTAACAAAACACTGTTAGGATCAGCAACCTTAGAATTGTTGAAATAGTAAATGGGAGTACCTGTTCCAGTCTCCCTCTGGCATAGGGGCTGAGAACTCAGGGGACCGCCTGAGATTGCCTGGATCCTGCCCCCACATGATAAAGCCTTTGAGAGGGAACTGACACTGATTCTAGCCACGCCAGCAGCTATCAAAGTGCCTGAAAACAAATCCTGAGTCCATCACTCTCCAGTCCATCCTTGGAAGACAAAAGAAAAATGAGGAGGAACCCAGAGGGATGCTTTTGGAAGCTCTCGTCAAGAAATCCCAATGGACTCTCATATGAACATTTGAAATTTGCCCTGTTCTGACTTTTGGTTCCTTGTCTAGAACTTATAATGCTCACTACTCTTGCCTTTACTTCTCCTTCACATCCCCTATTCACCAGGCAAGGACCTTCTTTTCTCCTTACAGATAAGAGTTATGCAACTTGGGAGTCTTTTAGATAAACTCATTGAAGAGGTACCCCAATTGCCTCACCCTGCGTCCCTGTTCAGCATAGAAGCAAGAGCGGTCTGTATCCCGATTCTCTATCAGCAGTTTGGGTAACCTCTTCAGAGGATGGTGTGATAAGAATAGGAGGTAACTGGCTAGGCAGTTAGGGTAAAAAGACTCCAAAGAAAAGTAGCCAGTTTCTTGGCTAAAAGTCAAAATGTCCTTGGACCTCTTAGCAATTTACTCTGTTCCAAAGGCCAAAAACATCAAAAGTATTTCAGAACTCTTATCTAATCCCTAAAATATTTTAGGGTTACCTCTTCGAGGGGGAATGTTAGAGTAGCAAAAAGCCCCATTGAAAAAGAAGGAAGGAAGGAAGGAAGGAGGGAGGGAGGGAGGGAGGGAGGGAGGGAGGAGGCACGAAGTTGTCAGAAAAAAGAGATGGGGAGATATGGGAGGTGTTGGAGGGAGGGATTGGGCATGGATTTGATCAAAACACTTTATATTGCATGTATGAAATTCTCAATAAAGTTTTTTTAAAAAAAAATAGAAAATGGGGGCTGGACAGATGGCTCAGCGGTTAAGAGCACTGACTGCTCTTGCAGAGGACTAGGGTTCAATTCCCAGCACCCACATGGCAGCTACGAACCGTCCTTAACTCCAGTTCCAGGGGAATCCGAAGCCCTCTTCTGACCTCCATGGCATTGCACGACACAGGTGCACTCACATACATGCAGGCAATACACTGATACACATAAAATAAAAATAAATATTTTTTAAAACATAGCAAATGGCCATGTGAATATTTTACCCATTATAAAGGTACTTCAGACCCACATAGCATATGACTAAGTATCAAAAACAGGGCAGGCATGTATTCTTCAGGGAAACAAAGACCAGTATGAGAGTGCTGGGGAGGAGTAAGACCATGTCAAAGAACTCAAGTTGGCTCTTGAAGGAAAAAATGAGAATGGGGACAGCTGGATGAGGAACTCCTCAGGAATGGAGCAGTGCTGGCGGCTACCCTGCTTACTCACTAAAAATTACTCTGGAGAAAGATAGCTCCACCCAGATTTTGACCATACCACTTACTACTGTATCACCCTCAAAAAATTACTTGTCTATGGCCTCAGTTTTTGTTTTGGTTTATTAAAATAAGAATAATAGGTCCATCTGGGCATGGTGGCCTTTTTAATTCCAGCATCAGGACAGTGGCAGGCAGAGCTCTTTGAGTTCGAGGCCAGCCCTGTCTACAGTGAGTTCCAGGCCAGCCATGGTTATATACTTAGATCCTGGGGACTTGCTGACCAGCCAGTATGGGTGAAATGACATGCTTCGGGTTCAGCGAGAGACCCCTGTGTCAAAAAATAAGATGATGACAGAGGAAGACACCCAGCACTGACCTCCGGCCTACAGACATGCACACTCAGTTATACAGAATGTCTTAAATCGCCTCAGTTTTTAAAAAGGGGCTGAGCATTTAACTGTTCTTTCTGTTCATGCTACAGAGCTTCTCAATGAAGGCATTGTTTTAGAAAGATTTTAGCTGGGCATGGTAGCACATACCTTTAATCCCAGCACTTGGGAGGCTGAGGCAGGTGGATCTCTGTGAGTTCAAAGCCAGCCTGGTCTACATAGTGAGTTCCAGGACAGCTGGGGCTACAGGGAGACCCTGTCTCAAAAAGAGCCCCCCCCCAAAAAAAGAAAGATTTATTTTAGTAATGTCCACAGGGCCTAAATTTAAGTAATGGCAATAGGAATGGGTAAGGAAGGGACAAGTTCCAAAAGTAAATGGAATTGGGCTAGATGGATTCTCTCAGCTATTTCTATAACTTTGGTAGCCTTCTATCCCTCTAGGTTTAGAAAGAAAAATCTTAAGGCTGGGGAGATGGCTCAGCTGTTAAGAGCACTGGCTGTTCTTACAGAGGATTGGGGTTTGGTTCCCAGCACCCACATGGTGGCTAACAATTGTCTGTAACTTCAGTTCCAAGGAATCTGATGCCTTCTTCTGACCTCCATGGACATTGAACAACATGGGTGCTGCTTCACACATGCAGCCAAAACACTCAGAAAAAATAAAAGTAATAAATAGAAAGTAGAGCACAACATGCATGAAGATGTATATGGACATGTGCACACACACACACACACACAAAACAACTTTTTTGTCTTTTTGAGACAGCGTGTTCCTGTAGTCCCAGCTGGACTGGAACTCACTATATAGACCAGGCTGGCCTCAAACTCACAGAGATTCCCCTGCCTCTGCCTCTCAAGTGCTGGGATTAGAGGCATGAGCCACCACACCTGGCCTTCACACACAAAATTTTTTCTATTTTATTATAATATATATTTTCTTCCTCTATAGGTTTTAGATGGAGCAGGATTAGATATTGATTTCCATCTTGCTTCTCCAGATGGCAAAACCTTAGTTTTTGAACAAAGAAAATCAGATGGTGTTCACACGTGAGTAATCTGCTTGTTTGTTTGTGGCACAGTCTCTGTGTTCATGTATCCCTGGTTGGCTTGGAACTTGCAACAATCCTCCTACCGTAGCCTCCTGAGTGCTGGGATTACAGTCCTGTACTACCATGTCCAGCTAAATAATCGGATTTGTTTTGGCTGAACACTAGTGAAAGGCGGAGAAAGTTAGTACATTAGTACATTCATTACTGTAGTATTGTATATATTATATAACTCCATATTTTAAAGTCTTCCATCCACCTAACTCTTACTAAATTTGGAGGGTTTGTTTTGAGTCTAGGTAGGGTCTTTGTTGCCCACAATTACCTCAATTCCATGGGCTCAGGGGATCCTGCTGCCTTAGCTGCCCCAGTAGCTGTGACTATCGGTATCCACACCAAGGGGACCATACCCAGCTAACTTTTTCCTTATCTTTGGTTAATCTACTGTAACATTTTATACCTGCTGTCTTGGCTAACATAGGCTTTCCATTTTAACTGGAAAACTATTCTTCCAAATTAGATAGATTAGATGGTTATTTTCTTTGTTATGCAGAACCTTTTAAATTTTATTTAATCTCCATTTGTTATGAGATTATTTCCTGTGCTACTGGAGTCCTTTTCAGAAAGTTTGCCTGTACCTTTATCTTGAAGAGTTTTTATTGTGCTTTTCTCTGGCAATTTCAAAGTTTCAGGTTTTATATTGCCAGAGTGAAGACAGACTACAGAATGGGGGAAAAATCTTCACTACACAGCAGATGGGCATTGATACCTAGATTATATAAAGAACTAAACACGAAAAAAATGTTACCCAATCAATAAATAGGCCAATGAACTGAGCAGACAGTTCTCAAAAAAGAAATACAAATGGCCAGTAAAGGAAATGCAAATTAAAATTGACTTGAGATTCCTTCTCACCCTAGTCAAAATAGCTATCACCAACAAAACAAGTAACAATAAATGCTGGCAAAGATGTGGGGAGAAGAACGCTGATACACTGCTGTAAACTGTTGTAGCTCTGAGAGTCAGTATGAGGTTTCTCAAAAAACTAAAAATAAAGCCAGGTGTGGTAGCAATATGCCTTTAATCCCAGAACTTGGGAGGCAGAGGTAGGCAGATCTCTGGTGATTGAGGCCAGTCTAACCTAGTGAATTCCAAGCCAGCTGTGGTTACAGGGAGACCCTGTCTCAAATGACCAAAGGTGGGTGGGCAGGGTGGAGGTGGGGGAAACCCTATAACTACCATATGACCCAGTTGTACCGATCTTAGGTATATACCCAAAGGACTCTTAAATTCACCATACTATAGAAATACTGGTACATCATAGCTAGGAAATGAAACCAGATACCAACTTAGATATCTATCAACAAATAAAGAAATGTGGTATACATACACAATGGAGAAATCATCAATAACTTAACTCTCTTTATTCAACGCACAAGTTATAATGGCTAAGTAGAATTCAGTTAAGGAAACTAAAACAAATTATTTTATTTTGGGGCTGTCTGGAGAGATGGCTCAATGGTTAAGAGGACTGACTGCTCTTGCAGAGAACATGAGTTCAATTCCCAGCACCCACATGGTGGCTAACAACCATTTGTAACTCCATTTTCAGGGGAGTTCTGGCCTTCATGGGCATTGCACACACATGATGCACTTATATACATACAGGCAAAACACTCGTACACACAAAATAAATATAATTAAATATTTTCTTTAATCTTACTTTTTGTTGCTGTTTTTTGTTTTTGTTTTTTTGAGACAGGGTCTCCTGTAACCCCAGCTGGTCTGGAACCCAATATGTAAACCAGGCTGGCCTCAATCTCTGAAATCTGCCTGCTTCTGCCTCCTGAGTGGTGGTATTAAAGGTATGCACCACCATGCATAGCTAAATTAAAAGTTTTTTTAAAGCTATGACTAGTGAATTTAACTTTGTTGTAACTTTTCTGAGTAACTTGTAGTTTTGTGTATATATAGCAATGTCAGTTGTATATGTATGGTTTATATAAGCATGTAATAGCAATATAATTAAATTTTTTTAATCTTTCAGAATTTTTCAACAAGTGAAATGTTATAAAATGCTTTTGTACTTAATCCATTTCCCAATTACAGTGATTGAAATGGTCTTAATGTTCTTTTGACTGAATCTGAAACTGGGTTCCTGTTCTATCATCTCTGAAATGTTTGAAAAATTAATTAATTTTTTGAAAATTCTTTGAAAGTTTTAATATTTGCTATGTTAGTGAGAAACTAACTGGTAGTTGTTCAGATATTAATGATTTTTTTCTCAGCATTTAGCATAATAAATGAAGGGTGGAATAACCTCTTTAGAACTAAATAGTGAAATATAAGCTAGTTTTATTTAATTCTCCACCCAAACATTGAGGATTGAACATAAATATGTACAGGGCTTGAGAGATGGTTCAGTGGTTAAGAGCACTTGCTGCTTTTGCAGAGGACCCAGGTTTGGTTCCCAGCACCCACATGGTGGCTCTCTGTTACTCCAGTTCCCAGGGATCCAACACCCTCTTCTGGCCTCCATAGGCAATGCACACACATGATGCACTTACATGCAGGCAAAACACTCATACACAAAATAAAATTTTAGAAAAATTAAACATAAATATGTATAAGGGACCCAATAGTAGTAAAGTGGCATATTGTGGAGCACTTTTATATGACTTCCAGATTAATCAATTCTCTTAAGAAAACTATCTATTGGCCTTTTTTTTTTTTTTTTTTTTTTTCCTGTCTTTTTGAGACAGGGTCTCCCTGTAGCCCCAGCTGTCCTGGAACTCACTATGTAGACCAGGCTGGCCTGAAGTCACAGAGATCCGCCTGCCTCTGCCTCCAGAGTGCTGGGCTTAAAGGCGCGTGCCACCACACCCAGCTATTGGCCATTATTTTTAGCATCATTCTTATACGCCTCTATATTATCTGAATCCTTGCTGCTTTTCAGATACCAGGCAAGCCCAATGAGAATAATAAAATCGGAAATTCAGGTAAGATTGAGTTTTAAAAGGCCACAAATTATTATGCCTGAACATTTCTTGTCTCTTTTTGAGCAGTATCCTACCCATTTAGAATATATCCAGATGTGTCCAACTTTTTGATACTGCAGCACAGTCTACAAAGTTTATATTCAAGATGCATGATACACATTTTTCTTTTTTGTTTTTATTGTTTGGTTGGTTGGTTTTTCTTTTTAAAACTGTTCCCCATTCTACTCAACAGTATTTGCTCAGGATGTGACAAAGTATCTGAGAAAGTCAACTTAAAAGAGGAAAGGTTGATTTTATGATTTTCAGAGGTTTCATCAACTCCATTATTTGGCTCCATTTTTTTAGGCCCATGCATGATGAGGCAGAATATCATGGTGGCAAAGATGTGCTAGCATGTAGCTCACCTCATGGCAGACGGGGCAGAGAAATAGCTAGAGAAGTGACCCAGGGACAAAAAAATCCTCTTCCAGGATACACACTACTGCCACTCCTGTCTATTTCAATTATCAGCACCCATGAGCCCGTCACTTCTAAACACGGCGTGGGACCTAGCCTGTAACTTACAAACCTTTGGGGGAAATTTCATACACAAATCATAAAAGGAGATGGCCAAGAATGAAGGCAGATCTGAGCAATGTTATAGAAAGAGCTATTAATTTAAAGATCAGAAAGCTAAGCTTTAGGGCTAGGTATGTAGCTCAGTGGTAGAGTTCAGCATGTGCAAGGCCCTGGGTTTTGTCCGCACTACCACTGTAAAAAGACGGAGAAAAACCCAAGCTTCCTCTTTGCCTGCAGTGGGCTATAGGATCATACAAATATATCTTAACCTGCTTGAACTTTGTTTTACTTACCTAGAAAAGATCAATTATGCCAACTTCCAATGTAATAATGATTAAAAGGCATTAAGTATATGAAAGTAGTGGGTAAATTATTAAAGGGTATACAAGTGCTAATTTGTTTTAATGTAAAAATTCATTCACATTGCACATGCTTAAAGAAAACAATAAATTGGGGCTGGAGAGATGGCTCAGTGGTTAAGAGCACTTACTACTCTTGCAGATGACCTGGGTTCGATTCCCAGCACACACATGGTGGCTAACAGCCATCTGTAACTCCAGTACCAGGGATCCAACGCCCTCTTCTGACTTCCATGGGCATTGCACGACACAGGTGCACCTACCTACATACAGGCATTACAAGCATACACATAAAATAAAAATAAAATATTTAAAAAAGGAAAAATAAATTGGAACTAGGAGAAAAGATGGAGATTAATATAAAGATGAGAATCATATGTTGTATTCAAGTTACAGAATGTAATAATGCCTCTGGAAACTTAATTGTTGTACCAGCAAATTGGAAATAAGAAAACTGCAAAAACCATTTTTAAGCCTTCCATGAACAGCCATAACCAAAACTAAAATGGAGTTTGACTTGTGCATTTTTTTAGGGTTAACTTCAAAAAGAAAAACTGGGAAGTCAGATGAGTAGTCATTACATGGCACTAGTTATGAAAACTGAATTGTTAGGACAATGAGATACCAGTGATTAGAACAAGGCAGAACAGGAGATTGAACATTTTGAGTTTGGTAGCTGTAGTGAATCTATGAAAGAATGTCCCAAAAGAAAATAATGGCTTTAGGTTAAAACCAAAGAATGGGTTTTCTTCGCTGGCATGAACGTATGGTGTGGCATTAGCAGGACATTTCAGAAAGGCTCATGTTAAGGAAGGTTCTTGCCATATCAACTCTTGCCGCCGTGACACCATTGTACCTCTCCCCAGTTCTTAGGAGCCTGGTTGTGTTTCTTCAGATCACATAAGATAGAAGTCTTCCTTGCATGTATGTGCAACACACACACACACACACACACACACACACACACACACACACACGCACACACATTTTGTAATTCCCTCTTGAACATTTTGGCCCCTGCACCTAAACAGTCTCACTGAGGGCATAATGCATAATTGGAAGTTTGCCTGTTTGGGGGCATTTTTTTTCTTTTAGTTACTTACTAGAGATCGAACCTAGGCTCTCATGCATGCTGGTTAAGGGCTCTACCACCTAGCTATATTCCCCAGCAGTTGTTTTAGGCATTTTTAAGTTGCAGTGAGTACTAAGCATCCTCTGATGTATGCTTCTGGTCCCCAAATTGACAGGTTCCAAATAGATCAGTTTGACTGAAGATCTTGACATGAAAAGTGTAATTTGGACTCTGCCTTTGTCAAACGTTATCAAAAATGCTGCATATCAACCAAAGAAAAATATAGACAACATATGCTGAGACATAGGAGGTGCAAGTTATTAATGTTCAGTTTTTTGTTTTGTTTTTTGATGGTGGTTGGTGAGACAGGGTCTCACTATCTAGCTGTTCTGAAACTCCCGATGTAGAACAGGCTAGCCTCAAACTCACAGAATCCACCTGCCTCTACCTCCCAAGTGTTGGGATTAAAGGCACATGCCACCAGCCCAGTCACATCCACTTTAATAAAGATGATGGCTTCAAGGTATTAGAGGAAAGTATTCATCCATATCCTCTCTAACTCCCTACCCCATTGCTTAGATCTAATTCTAGTTGAAGCCTCCCTCTAGAAATGAGTAGAATTGGGTACAGGCAATATAAATGCAGCTAGAAAGGTTCATCTAAGTAAATGGGACACGTGTGTATATATATATATATACATACACATATAAATATAATATATATTATATATACATATATAATATATATAATATCTGATCGTTTTAAGACAGGGTCTCCCTGTAGCCCCAGCTAGCCTGGAACTCGCAATATAGACCAAGCTGGCCTTGAACTCAGAAGATCTGCCTCAAAAGTGCTAGGATTAAAAGTGTGCACCATCATGCCCAGCTGTTTGCTAGATATATTTAAACCCTTATTAGAAAATAGTCTCTTTTATATGGGACAAGAGCCACCCAATTAATATACACATTAGGTATACTGACTTTTGTAAAATGTTCTTTGCAATTTACAGTAGCCCCCTGGCTTGGTAAAAAAAAAAAAAAAAAGACCATATATGGTGAGAGAGATGGCTCGGCAGGTAATAGCACTTGCTGCTAAGCCTGATGACTTGAGTTCAGTCCCTGGCACCCACACAGTAGAAGGAAACACTCGATTCCACTCCCACAAGTTGTCCTCTGACCTCCACACTCATACTCTGGCACATGTGCACCCACTCCCCTCACACAAAATTAAAAAATTTTTTGAGGCAAGGTCTTGTTATATACCTTAGGCTGGCCTTGAACTCTGAGATCCTCCTGGCTTCACTTCCTGAGTGCTGGGATTACAGGCATGCATCACCAAGCCCAGCTAAAAGGGTTTTTAGAAAGACCATATAGATATCTTTTATTTGAATCAGTAATTCGCATTGGATAAATTTTTGAAGTCAGTAACTCTCCTAGAGTATCTGAGCTGATTTTGGAATAATTTGTTAAAATGTTATCAGCAGTCTGCTGTGAAATAAATAGGCACTTCATTGATGCATTATGAAGATGTAAACTAGTTTTGTCATTCTCTCAAGTAGTGTTTGTTTTCTTTAGGGCCAACAGTTGTAAATGTCGTTAGCATGTAGAATGTTTTCCTTTTTTGAATTTCTCTCCACCAAAAGAAGGGGGAAACCAAGAGTTGTCAGAAAATCACTTTGTCAACTCTCATGAAGGTAGTAAGATTTGTTTTCTTGCCAGGCATGGTGGTGCCTTTAAACCCGGCACTCAGGAGACAGAGGCAGATGGAGCTTTATGAGTTTGAGGCCAGCCTGGCTTACATAGTGAGTTCCATGCCAGCCAGAGACACATAGTGGACCTTGTCTCAAAATAAAAAAGTTCTTTGTTTTGTTTTTGAGGCAGTCTCAACACTATCCTAGACTGGACTCAGAGGCAGAGCAATCCTCCTGCCCCAGCCTCCTAAGTTTTGGGATTTACAGGCATGAGCCACAGTACCCAGCAAGACTAAGATCTTAAGTTAGTTTAGATGTGAATGGCACTCAGTACAGGTAATGCCATTGAGAGTAAATGTTGCAGTTACTGGCTACAGACCTCATCTTTAATCTTGGTAACTGTATTATAAAGATACACTTAATCTGTAGGCCTAAAAGAACACCCAGGTACAATCACTGCTTTCTTTTTAAAGAATGATTTTAGTATGTATGTGTATGTGCCTGTACTTGTGTACATGTGTAGTGCCCAGAGACCAGAGAGTATGTTGGATCCCTTGAAGATGGGGTTACAGATGGTTGTAAGCCATGTGGGTGCTGGGAACCAAACTTTGCTCCTATGGAAGAGCAGTAAGTGCTCTTAACCACTGAACATATCTCCAGCCCCAACAATCACTGCTTTTGAAAACAAAACAAAATTCAGTTTATAGATTAATCTCAATTGAAGGGTACATTGGCTGTCATATTTGCATATGACTAGGACTCACCATAAGTTTAATTTGTAAGTATTAAAGCTTATTATAATTCATATCACTGGGCTGGAGAGATGGCTCAATGGTTAAGAACACTGGTTATTCCTGTAGAAGACCCAGGTTCTAATCCCAGCACCCACATGGCAGCTAACAACTGTCCGTAACTCCAGTTCCAGGGGATCCGACAGCCTCTTCTGTCCTCTGCAGGCATTGCATGACACCGGTGCACTTACCTACATGCAGGCAATACACTCATACACATAAAATAAATAAAAATAATAAATAAAATATTTAAAATAAAGAATTCATACCACATATTTAGGCCTTGAAGCCTAGTTTTAAAAAAAAAATAGATCAAGATCATTTAGAATAACTTGCCAAGTAAACTCCAAGAATATCTAAGTTGCAACTATCTTGAATTTATTTTCAGGGCTTTTTTTTCCCAAGAAATTATACTTATCTTTGAATACTAATGAACCCTCTCAGCAATGTCTGATTACTATACACTGTGTTGTTTCTTCTGTTTTACCTTTAGTTGTACCGTTGATCCCAGGTAGGAAGTACAGATAACTGAAACTGCCCTTTTTTTAAAATATAGTGTAGAGACTGAAGTTGGTGACTACATGTTCTGCTTTGATAATACATTCAGCACCATTTCAGAGAAAGTCATTTTCTTTGAATTGATCCTGGATAATATGGGAGAAGAGGCTCAAGAACAAGAAGACTGGAAGAAATACATTACTGGCACAGATATGTTGGAGATGAAACTGGAAGACATCCTGGTCAGTATGACCTTTTTATTCAGTAATGACATTGAAGCACCCAGAGTTCTTACTGTATGAGAGAGACTGAGCTTAGCATTTTTGTCTGTATCATCCAGGAAAATTTGTTCATAATACTTGTTTATGTTTTGCTATAAATTTTAATTTATTTTATGTGTATTAACGTTTTCCCTGCACATACGTAAGTTACCCACTTGCATACAATTTCCACAGAGGCCAGAAGAGGGCATCAGATCCTCTGGAACTGAAGTTGGAGATGGCTGTCGCCACGTGGATGCTGGCAACCAACCCTGGGGTCCGCTGCAAGAGCAGCCAGTGCTCTTAACCTCTGAGCCATTTCTCCAGGCCCACCATTAATATTTTTGACATAATTTCATATCTCAATTTTAACTCATGTTCATTCATATAGCCCTTTTAAAAGTTTTCCAAATCACTTAACAGAATACTTTCTTGGGACTAGAGAGATGGCTCTGAGGTTAAGATCACAGGCCGCTCTTGTAGAAGACCCAGGTTTGATTCCCAGCACCCACATGGTGGCTACAACTGTGTGTAACTTCAGTTCCAGGGCATCCAATGCCCTCTTCTGATCTCCACGGACCTTGTACCCACCTACATGCAGGCATTACACTCATACACATAAAATAAAAATGATAAATATTTTTAAAAATTCTTTCAGAAGATGTACATATATAAATATATACAAATTTATTTTCTTACAGTTCAGGAAGTCACAAGTCTGAAATTAATTTCCCAGGTCTAATGTCTAAAGGTGCTGGCAGAGCTGAGCCCTTCTTTTAAGGGCTTCAGGATTCTTCTTTACTTCAGGGCTGCTGGCATTCCATGGCTTGTGGCCCCTTATGTCACTCTGAACTCTTAAATCTGTCACCATAATGCTTGTGATTACACTGGACCTGCTTGGATAATCTAGAATAACCTCAAGATTCTTAATTATAGCTGCGAAGTTTCCTTTACCATAAAGTAACATTCAAAATATGTAATTCAAAGTGCCTCTTAGAAGACTTTTTTGTTGTTTGAACATCTGTGAATTACAAACAGATTATGCTTTTGATTGCATGGTATATGTATCTAAAAAGGAAATATTTTCTAATTTCACTAATATTTTGACTAAATATTTACATTTCAAAACAAAACCATTGTTTTACTAGATACTCCACTTGCCATACCAACATTCAAAGAACAAAACGTAGATACACAATGCATTAGGCAATAGGTAATAGTTGGCAAATAACTAAAAATTTGTATTTTAAAACTTAATCATGGAGGTTAACCAATGGAGAGATAGCTCATTGGTTAAGAGCACTGGCTGCTCTTGCAGAGGACCCAGGTTCAATTCCCAGAACCCACATGGCAACTAGCAACCATTCATAACTCCACCTTCAGTGATCTGACTCCCTTTGATGGCCTCAGCGGGCACTGCACATACATGATGGATGCACTTGCATGCAGGTAAAACACTAATTTTTTAAAACTAAATCACCATATTTGAGAGATTAATCAGTGGTTAAAAGCACTTGCTGCTCTTGCAGAGGACCCAGATTCCATTTACAGTACCCATATGGCAGCTAACAACTGTCTGTAACTCTAGCTCCAGGGGATCCAAAGACTTCTGGCTTCAATGAACACCAGGCATGCCCATCTATGGTGCACATACATACATGCAGGCAAACACTCATACACACAAAATAAATCTTTTAAAATATTTTATGTATATGAGTCCATTGCCTGAATTTATGTAAGTGTGCCCATGTCATGCAGTGCCCAGAGGTCAGAAGAGGGTGTTGGGTCCCCTGGAACTGGAGTTAAGGACTATTAGTCTCCATGTGGGTGCTGGAAACTGAACCTGGGTCCTCTGGAAAAGCAGCCAATGCTCTTAACTGCTGAGCCATCTCTCTAGCCCCCAAAATCTTTTTTTTTTTTAATCATTTTTTTCATGGTCGTTAGGTCTAAAAAAGAGATAATGTATATAAAAGTCCTAGTGAAGTGCTATTTAAATCTTTTCATCTTATGTCTTTTCAATTCATGGGATCTTTATTCCTTGTTAAACAAATCTAAATTTATCATTACTCTTCTATAAACTTCCAGAGGCTCTCTAGGTAACACAAGTCCTAGAGAATTGTGTAGCCATCTATTTAAAAAACTTTAAGTTGTTATTTTCTTTGAAACAGGGTTACAGCCCCTGGCTGGCCTGGTTTTCCCATGTAGACACACTGGCCTCAAACTCAAAGATCTCCTGCCTCTGCCTACCAAGAGCTGGGATTAAAGGTGCATGCTACTATCCCCAGTCCTATTTTGATTTTTAAAACTAGCATGAAGTATACTGTTAAAGTTACTTTAAATTTCTAAGTATTTTTCATAGTAAAATTATTTTATTTTTTCCAGGAATCCATCAACAGCATCAAGTCCAGACTAAGCAAAAGTGGTCATATACAAACCCTGCTTAGAGCATTTGAAGCTCGTGATCGAAACATACAAGAAAGCAACTTTGATAGAGTCAACTTCTGGTCTCTGGTTAATTTACTAGTCATGGTGGTGGTGTCAGCCATTCAGGTTTATATGCTGAAAAGTCTATTTGAAGATAAGAGGAAAAGTAGAACTTAAAACTGCTAAGGAGATTACTTAACAATTGAAAAGGAAGAAGGTGGAGAATTTTAATACGCTGTCACAGCCAAGATCATTAATAGTCTTTTACAAAACGTTTTCAGGAAAGTTAGTGAAATTTTAATGTGAAAGCAGTCTTCACTTTGTGTCCAGTTAACTTTATTGACCCAGTTGTACTTAAGTGTATGATAGCTATATAAAACTTAGGTTTAATTGAATGAAGCCATATTAATTAACTTTTCCTAAATTTGATAAACTTTCCCAAATAACATACAGGAGTTAACTAACTGAACACTGCTCATAAACATAGAGCCAGCTTGCTTTTGCACAGAAGTTTTTCTAGATATATGGCAGTTACAAATTAATTAAAGAAGGTTCCAGTGTATCGGGTTCTAAATCATTTAAGGATTATGTAATCACAGACCGAATAGGTCAGCTTTTCTCTATTTACATATATATGCATAT